CTACTACTACTACTACTACTACTACTACTACTATTACTCGTGCTACTACTACGACTACGACTGCGACTACTACTACTACTACTACTACTACTACTACTACTACTACTACTACTACCACCACCACTACTACTACTACTACTACTACTACTACTACTACTACTACTACTACTACTACTACTACTACTACTACTAGTACTACTACTATTCGCACTCGTAGTGCAACTACTACTACTAGTAGGACTGGTCGTCGCAGTACTATTATTCATGTTCGGAGTACGACGGCGACGATTATTACTCTTACTACTACCCTGACCAATCGATAATACCAGTATTGCTCATAGAAGGTGGAGGGTAGGCCTACCCTAGGCCTACCCCGAGGACTACCCCCTCGGCCTACCCTAGGCCTATCCTTATGCCTACCCCGTAGGCCTACCTTAGGCATACCCCTAGGCCTTCCCCCCAGGCCTACCCTAGGCCTACCCCTAGGTATACCCCCTAGACCCTAGGCCTAACCCCTAAGCCTACTCCCTAGGCCTACCCCTAGGCCTTCCCTTAGGCCTACCCCCTAGGCTTACCCTCGGCATACGCCTAGGGCTACCCTAGGCCTACCCCTACGCCTTCCACCTAGGCTAACCTAGGTCTACTCCTGGGCCGTTCCCTTAGGCACACCCTAGGCTTACCCCCTAGGCCGACCGCCCGACCCGACCCGCCCGTTAGGATCCGGCCGACCCGACCCGACCCGCCCGTTAGGGTCCGCCCGACCCGACCCGACCCCGACCCGTTAGAGTTCTCACGTGTCCCCTCGGACATGCACCATATTGTAATGTCCTGCTCGCCTGACCCGACCCGCCCGTTAGGGTCCGACCCGACCCGACCCGACCCGCCCGTTAGGGTCCGCCCGCCCCGACTCGACCCGACCCGTTAGAGTTCTCACGTGTCCATTCGTTGATGCATCATACTTCAATGGCCCGCCCGCCCCGACCCGGCCGTTGGGGTCCGCCCGACTTGGCAATACCCGCCCGTCAGGGTTCTCGCGTATCCCCTTTGTGCTGCATCGTATTTTGATATCCAGCCCGCCCGACCCGACTCGTTCGTTAGGGTCCCGCCGACTGATGAGGCCGCCGGGCCGTTTGACTTGCCCCCTCCAAACCGGCCAGATTGGGCTTCCTCTGGAGAAGTTTGGAGAGGGAGAACAGTTTCACAGGCCCAGGAGACACCGACGGGCGGTGAACTGTCATAGCGAGTCAATTATCTGACGGCCATGGGGCCAGGAAACGGTTTCTGAAAGGCCGCAAATGGCGAAATATTTGCGGTGTAGACGGTGATTTCGCGATCGTGCCGCATCGGCGATGTGGCGCGATTGGAAGCATGATTTTCTCCATTCCGACCTCGTCGATCAATTGGCGCCGACGGATACTTCGTCGAGGCAGTGCGACCCCCCCAACCCCATCCACTCTTGCCCCAGTCGGGCAGCCTTCTAAAACCTCTGGTGCGATTGGCCTGCCCTTGGCTCAGAGGTCCCAGATCCGTCTGTCGACAGCCCGTCTGATGACCTCGAGATCCCGATGGCCTCACCAGACAGGATGTTTCCCGATGGCTTTGTGGTTTCGGATGCCACAGACGCTTCAGACATACACGGACAACGGCTCAAGTCCCAGAATCGGGGAAACGTAAGACTCGAGTTCGCCGGAACCCGGGTTTGCCTACGTTTTTTGACGGGCCCGTTCGGAATTTTGACGGTCCAGTTTCCGTGGGATGTTTGGAGCGGGAGTTCGCGTCAACTTCCAGATTGGGCCACGTCATTTTCCCGAACGCTCAGCCAGGCCAACCCGAGTCCCCCGAACCCGAGTCTTACGTCTCCCCGACAGGGCCCGCGCACGACGAATCAGATTGGGCCCAACGGACAGTGCATTTAGTCACAGCACCGCTTGGGCCTCCTCAGAGCAACAACTCCAGCGCGATCCTCTCGAGGCGGGCTTGGCATTGCCAGATCAGACACCAACGGGCGGTTTGGCCAGGGATTTGGGAAAATTGCTGCATGCAGCTTGGCTCCACAGTCGTGCACTTTCCTCGATGCGTGACCGCCTCCGTCGCAAGGAGGCGTGCGACAAACTAGCCGCATGCAGCTGGTTCGCTGCCCATGGAACGATGCAAATGCATTTGGAAAGAATCGAAAACACGACTGACAGCCTTTCCTATCCATTTCGGCCGCCGCGGGCGTTGCCTATTTGAGGCAGAAAGTCGCCCGCCCAACAATGGCCGCTGTCGCTTCTGGACTGGACAACCTTTGCTGTCGGGCATCGTGCTTAGTTCATGCTGGGTTTGCAAGAGCTTCTTTTTTTGCCACCCCTCTTTGAGGGGCAACGCGAAAGGTGGGCATTAACCCCCAGTCGCCCATTCATCGCGGGTATGGGCATGGTGCCACCATGATGCTGGTCCACCCTTCCCGGGAACATGCGGATTCACTATCGGGGATCTATCGCGAATTCCAGCCTGATGTGTCCCCCCCTGAGCCAGTCCCCCCATACCGTTGCCCCTCATCCTTTCGCCCGCCCCAAAAGCTTCAGCGCGAGTTGGTGCTGCGTCGGGATTGCTCCCTCTGACATCTGCCGACCAGATTATTTTGAAATCCGCAGTCCCAGAGCTCCCGACCCCTTCCCTGGGATCAGTTTTTCGAGCATGATTTTTTCTCTGATGGCCCCAAGGCTTGAAAAACCGCCGAATCTATGAAAAGCGCCCGGGCTGCCAACAGATATGGGCTTGTCGCGCCGCATCGCCGATGCGCCGCCGATGCGGCTCGATTTTGAGCTCGATCCTCTCAACGCCGACGTTGCCGACGCATCGCTGAAGCGTTGCCGATGTGCAACCCTCCGACCCCATCTACTCGGACCCCACGCTGGGAGGCCGCTCTGTCTGGTCCGTCTGTCTGTCTGTTCGTCTGTATCCGAGGCTATGCCTCCTCTCGGCCTCGCTCTGAGGCTCCGCCGCTTCCTCCCTCCTCTTCTCTGCCTGATTCAAGCTTCGCGCGGCCCGGTCGGCTTCGACCGGAAGAGGTGCGCTCTCGACCCGCGGATCAGAAGTCTGTCTGTCTGTCCTTCTGTCTGTCTGTCTGTCTGCCGGCCTCGGCGGGGCCCCACGCCGTCTACTCAGACACCACGCTAGGAGGCCGTTATGTCTGGCCCGCCTGTGTCCTGGCATCGCTCGGACGTGTGCATTTTTTCTTCGGCGAGGACCATCGAGGAGCATCCTTGATCATTTGGCGAAAAACCCACGCATGAAACTGAAAAAACACAGGGAATGGACGTCCGAGCGACGGCAAGCTGTCTGTCTGTCTGTCTGTCTGTCTGTCTGTCTGTCTGTCTGTCTGTCTGTCTGTCTGTCCTTCCGTCTGCCCGTCTGCCCGCCGGCCTCTGTGCGGGGCCTCCTTGCGCGGGCAGGCCACCTCCGCCAAGCTGCGGCGGAACAAGTGGATCAACCGGCAGGCCCGGGCGCCCCGCGGGCTCGCGGGCCCGTCGCCGGCCCCCGCCCTGCTTCAGGAGGGAAAAAAGCACGCAGACACACACACACACTCACACATTCACACACACACACACACCACACACCACACGCACCACACACACCACACACACCACACACACCACACACACACCACACACACCACACACACCACACACACAGTCACAATTAATCGTCGATTCCTTAGACAATATGGGAAAATATGGGAAGTGGGGGGGGCAGACAACAACCCAGAACACATGGGAAACTACGGGGACTCTTTTTATTTGTGTGCATTTTATTTGTGTGTCCTGGGGCCCCTTCCTTTCTACGGGGGGAGGGCGGGGAGGAGTGGACCACTGGCACCCGGCGCATCTGGGCTTTTTCGTCGTGTGCGCCTTCGGGGGCCCTCGCTGTGATCCAGGCGGTCGGTCGGCCAAGCCCGGCGCTCAAACGACACATTGGCGAATCAACAGATGGTTAGCGCTAGTGGCGCCACCCTGTGGCACGAGGGACAGAACGGGCGGGGAGGAGGGGAGGGAGAACAGAGAAGCCATGGAAGAAGCTAAACGCAAGGGGCCCATGGCTGTTTAGGCCTCCCCCTGCGTTGTCGGTTCGCCCATTCTTTTGGGCATATCCATGCCAGGTTGGCATGTTAAAAGTCTTAGAGGGTAGTCTCGGGCAGCGCTGCGAGTTTCTTGTACAGCGCCGCTTGGCTCTCGCGAAGTGTGGAGCTCTGTGGTTTTTCTCCCGCGCGCTCTAGAATCTCTCCGCTGTGCATTCGTGGAACAGGTGTGCTTGGAATTCTTTGAACCCGTCTTGAACATAGCATGTGAAAGTTGGGATCCCGGACCGTCAAAAAAGACTCACGATGAGAAAACAGCCCAGGGGAAACAGTCTGCATTTCGTGGGCCCCGTATCGAATGGTCTTCGGCCCATCCCGCCACCGTGCCCGGGTTGAGAGTATGAAGCCTATTGGACATAGAGGGTGCCAGACGTACCTTTCGGTTGATTTGAGTGTGGCACCTTGAAAGCCCATCAAACTTGTAAGTAGCTGCGCAGACACGGGCGAAATTAACATTGTCAATTGGAGAATAAAGAGGGGACCTACGCATTTTCCGGGGAAACGTATCAAACAAAGTTGTGGTAGTTTCGCATGCGCATGATCATCTAATGTTCCGTTTTGCTAAGCAACCAAAGAAGTTGTACAGACAGAAACGAACGAGTGATGATAAATAACTAGATAGTTGCGCGAACATGTCTACCACTCATCTAACACATTTCAATACCGTTCCTTGTGGGGCAGACTGCAGAAGGGTTTTTTTGCCACGGAAAGCGAGAGGATTCATTTTGTTGCAACTTACAAAGGTATCTTTGCATTCAGAAGTACAGAAGTATTGCTTGGTGGCGGACGATTGAAGGATGCCGTTTGTGGCGAGACACAGCAGTCTGTTTTGGTGGTGGAGTGCAAAATGATGTTTTTTTTTTTTTTTTTTTCTCCGGCGGCGTACGATTATGGAGGAAGGAGAGCCCCACAATTCGAAGCGCTGCATGTTGAAAGGGGCCTGTTTTAGATTTCGGGAAGCATCCTGCCTTTCGCCATCTTTCGGTCTGTATATGGCACTGCGCGGTCACAAAACAATGCACAGAAAAACAGAACGTTGATTTTGTACATGTTCCTTTTTCCTCCTCCCCCTCCCCCATTTTCTGCTCCTGCTTCCAGTCCTCGTCTGTGCAGAGGTCTATAATTTTTCGTTGCTGCAGGCATTTTTATTTATACGCAGGCACAGCTATCATAGCCCTTTCTTGACAGAGGTAACACGGGAACCAACAACATGCCAGTATTTGTTGTGCAAGCACAGGCAAAGACACACTTTCCACACGCAATAACAGCGATACTAGTGCTTTCGCAGTTTTAGAAACTATATCACAACATAACTCTTAACCAAAGAAGGAGCATGATCAAACAAGGCTGCATCAGCTGCGCCTGCGCATGCAGAACCAATGGTTTACATCTGGAAGTGCGAAAACAGTTGCGCACACATATGGCTTTTGTTCATTCAGCAACTTTCAATGGTGTTCCTTTTGTTGCATGGTGTACCCTTCTGTTGCAAAATACGAAAGGAATTCTCATGCTGCAGAATACAAAATGTCTCCGCTTCTCACGACATAGAATGGACTTGATTCTGCGAAGTACAGAAGCGCGTGCTCCGCGGCGGGATACGCACATATTATGCTCGTGGTGAAATACAGGAGTGATATCTGGCGCGCCCTGTGATGGAGGAAGTCGAGAGTCCCACAACTCGACACTCTTTGTTGTCAGAGGGGATCTGTTTCTAGATGTTGGGTGGCGTTCTGCCATCCGCCATCATTCGTCCAGCCCGTGGCACTGCGCGGTTGATTGTGTAGATGTTCCTCCTCCGTTTTTACCCCTTTTACCTCCTTCCTCATCCACCTCCACCTCTTCTACCTTCCTTGCTTTGCTCCTCCTTCCTCCTCTGTTTCCTCGCCCTCCTGCGCCCGAGCACCAAGTATGTGTGTTTTCACATCGGAGGCGGCAGATCACGCGGTGGTTGGCAGCCACCGTGGGAGTGTTGGCGAGCAGCCAGCCTAGGACGAGAACGGGGAGGCGAACGCAGGAACTCAATGGCGAGCATCCTTTTCGGGATTCTGGTGTGCAGGCGTGGAGGAACATAGCGCTGTCGACGTCGACATTTTGCTAGCGGACCACCGCCAAGTGAATCTCGCGTTTCCACCGTTGCGCGCGCCACTGTACCGCTGGAATTTCATGCAAGACATTGCCGCACGAAATGCATATCGTAGGGGCGGCGGTCACCAAGTTTCAACGCGCGTTGTGAATCCATGAGATCGATGCAGCGTCATCCTACTATCGGCTTGGCGGCGTTTCCATACAAAGCGTTCATCGAACTTCTGCGGCGCCAGCACTGCAATAATGGTAACGTCCTTTCCATATCGAATGTGCTAGGAGCTCTGACCCAAGAGGGCTGTTTTATCGGAATATTGTTTCGCACATGAGCTGCTTTGGAGGCCAGTCTCCACAGCGTCTTTCTTGTTGTACGCAGGGTGCCAGAATTCAGGCCCGCGTCGGCTGGGGCGCGTCTCGACGATGAACGGTGCTCCGCTCAGCCATGACGTCGACTCGAACGCGTTCGTTTTAAAGGCTGTGGAATGTTTGACAGGTTGCGTCGTATCATCTGGAGAGCCTGACCAATGAGGAACGTCCCACATGGCCAACCCCATCGTCCTTCCTTGAAGCCTTGGCGCGCGCCTGCACATCGTGCGGGGTTCTATCATTTCCCTCAGTGTCGAAACCTTTGTTGTTGAAATGCGGCCTTTGTGCGCCACCAGTCTTCCGCCACGCGACGGTATTCCCAGGTGCTGCCGTCCATCAAGTTTCCAAGTCTGGCGCGTTCGCATCGCCAGTAGGAACGGACACGTGTAAGTCGGACAACAAGTGCACGATGTGGCAATGGCTGCTCTATGCGATCTTGCTCCGTCGCAGGCGGTCGGCGTGCTATGTCCAAATCCATCGCAGGATACGGCCTGGCACCGCTTTGTCATTGTTGGATGAAAAAGCAAACGTAACTTTCAAACTTGGGCTTGGGTCGCAGCTTTCCTTTTCTCTCCCCTCCTCCCTCCTCTGTGTTTCCCCCCTCTCCCCATCCCGCCCCTCTCTTTCTGCTGTTGTGTTGCGTCTCTTTTTTCCCAACCATCCTGTGGTGTTGGGTCCTCGTTTTGAAGAGACAGCGCCCCGCGTCCCACCTCCTCTCCTCCTCCTCCTCTCCTCCTCCTCCGCCCTCCTCCCTCCTCCACACCCATTTCGGCACACCCCTCACACGTTTCGTGGCCCCATAGGGAGCTCCACCGAAGGCCCCATGCTGCGTTCGCATGCGTCCCGCACACCATTTCGGCACACCCCTCACACGTTTCGTGGGCCCACAGGGAGCTCCACCGAAGGCCCCAGTGCTGCCGGAGCTCCACCCTCGGACAGGCCCCACAGTGCTGCCGTCCGCATGCGTCCCGCCGCCCATTTCGGCACACGTTTCCGTGCCCCACAGGGAGCTCCACCGAAGGCCCCAGTGCACATGCTTTCACACGTGAGCTCCACCGAAACAGGGAGCTCCACCGCCCAAGGCCCCATGTGCTGCCGTCCGCATGCGTCCCGCACACCCATTTCGGCACACCCCTCACACGTTTCGTGGCCCCACAGGGAGCTCCACCGAAGGCCCCATGGCTGCCGTCCGCATGCGTCCCGCACACCCATTTCGGCACACCCCTCACACGTTTCGTGGCCCCACAGGGAGCTCCACCGAAGGCCCCAGTGCTGCCGTCCGCATGCGTCCCGCACACCATTTCGGCACACCCCTCACACGTTTCGTGGCCCCATAGGAGCTCCACCGAAGGCCCCATGGTTGCCGTCCGCATGCGTCCCGCACACCCATTTCGGCACACCCCTCACACGTTTCGTGGCCCCACAGGGAGCTCCACCGAAGGCCCCAGTGCTGCCGTCCGCATACGTTCCCGCACACCCATTTCGGCACACCCCTCACACGTTCGTGGCCCCATAGGGAGCTCCACCGAAGGCCCCATGGCTGCCGTCCGCATGCGTCCCGCACACCCATTTCGGCACACCCCTCACACGTTTCGTGGCCCCACAGGGAGCTCCACCGAAGGCCCCAGTGCTGCCGTCCGCATGCTCCCGCACACCCATTTCGGCACACCCCTCACACGCTTCGTGGCCCCATAGGGAGCTCCACCGAAGGCCCCATGGCTGCCGTCGCATGCGTCCCCGCACACCCCATTTCGGCACACCCCTCACACGTTTCGTGGCCCACAGGAGCTCCAACCGAAGGCCCCAGTGCTGCCGTCCGCATGCGTCCCGCCACCCATTTCGGCACACCCCTCACACGTTTCGTGGCCCCATAGGGAGCTCCACCGAAGGCCCCATGGCTGCCGTCCGCATGCG